TGTCTGACTCTTGATCTCAGCTCAGGTCATGATCTCATAGTTCATGAGTTCAAGACCCATACTGGGCTCTGTGCTGATGGTGCAGAGCCTGCTTGGGATTCTGTCTCCCCTTCTTTCTGCCCTCCTCCACTTGTGCTTTCTTTCTCAAAATAAATAGACTTTAAAAATTAAAAAAAAAAAAAAAGACAATATAAAAACCAGAAAGGTATAGACCGATATCCTCATGAATATACATGCAAAAATCTTAAAAAATACTAGCGAATGGAATTTAGCAATAAATAAAAAGAATCATATACCACTACTGAATAGGTTTTATTCCTGAGATTCAAGGCTGGTTTGGTACTCAAAAATCAATCAGTGTTAATTCCCCATCCTAACAGTTTAAAGAAGCGAAATAATGACCATATCAATCAATGTAGAAAAAGCAGTTGACAAAATTCAAAACCCATTCATGATAAATTCTCAGAAAAATAAGAACAAATATGGTGAACTTCCTCAACCGATAAAAGAGTATCTACTAAATACCCATAACTAACATCATACTTCATAGTGAAAGTCCAAATGCTTTCCCCAAATACTGAGAAAAGATGAGGATATCTGATTTCACTGCTCTTATTTAAGATAATGCTAGAAATTCTAGACAATATGATAAAGTAAGAAAAGGAGATAAAAGTCATATAGATCAGAAAGGAAGAAATAAAACTGTCCCTATTTGGAGATGACATGAAAATCTAAAAAAAAGATCTCCTAAAAAACTCCTGGAATTAATAAGTGAGTTCAACAGAGTCATAAGATACAAGATTAACATACAAAAAAAAAAAAAATCAACTATATTTCTATATTCTAGCAATGAGCAAATGGACACCTAAATTTAAAATACAAACTATTTAGGGGCGCCTGGGTGGCTCAGTCAGTTGAGTGTCCAACTTCAAGTCAGGTCATGATCTCGCGGTCTGTGAGTTCGAGCCCCACGTCCGGCTCTAGGCTGATGGCTCAGAGCCTGGAGCCTGCTTCCGATTCTGTGTCTCCCTCTCTCTCTGCCCCTCCCCCGTTCATGCTCTGTCTCTGTCTCAAAAATAAATAAACGTTAAAAAAAATTTAAAAAAATAAAATACAAACTATTTATAATTTGTCAAAAAAGAGAAATATATAGAACTCGCATGCTGAAAACTATACAACCCTGATAAAATAAATCAAAGAAGATATAAATAAATGAAGAGACATATTGTGTTTGTGGATTTGAAGCCTTGATATAGTAAAGACCTCAGTTCTCCCCAAATGGATATACTAATTTGACACAATTTCTATCAAAATTCTAGTAAGATTTTTTTTTTTGGTAGGTACAGACAAGATTTTTCTAAATTTTATATGGAAAGACAAAGGAACTAGAGGAACTGAAAGAATTTTTTAAATAAAGAATTTATTTAATTCTACTCAATTTTAAGACTTATTATCACTATATTAATTAAGACTGTGGGTACTGACAGAGGGGAGATGCATGGAATAGAGATACACCAGAATACAGAACCCAGAAATATACCCATACAAACATCCCAACTGATTTCTGCCAAAAAAGAAAAAGCATTCAATGGAGGAAAGATAGACTTTCAAACAAATGGTGCCTGAACAAGTGGATATTCATAAGCAAAAAATGAATTTCAAACTAAGCCATGTACCTTATACAAAAATTAATTCAATACCTTATACAAAATTATACAAAATAATACCTTATACAAAACCTTATACCTTATACAAAAATAATACCTTATATAATACCTTATACAAAATTATACAAAATAATACCTTATACAAAAATTAATTCAAAACAGATGTGGTATTTTTCCAATAAAATATAAACTGAAAACTGGCAAGAATGACAAGCAAATATTTAGTTCTGTGCTACTGTTCTTTGGTTAGCAATTACAAATTTTCCTGGAAAATTAGAAAAAAAAATATAGAAAAAAAATATACTTAACACAGAATTAAATGTAAAACTGTAAGAATTTTAGAACAAAACACATGAGAAAATCTTTGAGATCTAACACTGACAGTGTTCTTAGGCTTGACATCAAAGTACAATCCATAAAAAGGAAAAATCAATAAACTAGACTTCAAAAACTTTTACTCTATGAAAGATGCTGCTAAGAGGATAAAGAAACCCTTATATGTTGGTAGAAAATATTTGCAAACCACGTATCCAATGAAGAAATACATATAAATATATATATAATAAATATATATATAAATATATATAAATATAAATAATATAATATAAATATATATATAAATAAATATATATATAATATATAAAGAGCACTCAAAATTCAACAGTAAAAAACAATCAAATGAGAAAATGGGCAAAAGACATAAAGCAGCATTTCACCAAAGCACATAAAAAAATATTCAATGTCCTTAGCCATCAGAGAACCCACAAAAAAGTAATCATGAAACTACCATACAACCTAGCTATCTCATTCCTGGGTATTATTCCAGAGAAATAAAGACATATATCCACACAAAAACATGTAACAATGAATATTTACAGCACTGTTAGTTATAACAGCCAAAAACTAGGAGCAAACCAGATTTCCTTTGAGGAGTGAATAAATAAACTGTTGTACATCCACACCATGGAATGCTACTCAGCAACAAAAAGGAACAAATCATTGATTCAAACAACCACTTGGATGAATCTCTAGGGAATTATGGTGAGTGGCAAAAGGCCAATCCAAAGGGATCCCAAAAAGTAGTTTATGATTCTATTCATGTAATATTTGTGAAATGACCAAAATGATAGCGAACAGATTCGTGATCACCAGAATGTGAAGGAGAGGGGTGGGGCTGGGGAGGAGAGTAGGGTTGGCTATAAGAGGGCAATATAAGGGACCCTTATGGTGATGGAGATGTTCCATATCTGACCGTATCAATGTCAGTATCCTAGTTGTGATACTATACTATATGTAGTTTGGCCAGATGCTATCATTGGGTTAAACTAGGTAAAAGGTATAAGGGATGTTTCTGTGTTCTTCCTTTTTTTTTTTTTTTTTTTAAGATTGTTAAGTAGGGGTACCTGGGTGGCTCAGTAGGTTGAGCATCTGACTTCAGCTCATATCATGATCTCATGGTTCAGTTCATGAGTTCAAGCCGCACATCAGGTTCATTCCTGTCAAAACCAGAGCCCATTTCAGATCCTCTGTTCCCCTCTCTCTGCCCCTCCCCTGCTTGTGTGATTTTTTTTTTTCTTTCTCTCTCTAAAAAATAAACATTAAAAAAAGAAGAGATTTTTAAGTAATCTCTACACCCAACCTGGGGCTTGAACTTACAACCCCGAGATCAAGAGTCGCACACTCTACCAACTGAGAAAGCCAGACTCCCCTCTGTCTTTTTCTTACAACTACACATAAATCTATAATTATCTCAACACAAGAAATTTAATTTAATTTTCATTTTTTATTTTTTTTTTAAATTTTTTTTTTCAACGTTTATTTATTTTTTGGGACAGAGAGAGACAGAGCATGAACGGGGGAGGGGCAGAGAGAGAGGGAGACACAGAATCGGAAACAGGCTCCAGGCTCCGAGCCATCAGCCCAGAGCCCGACGCGGGGCTCGAACTCACGGACCGCGAGATCGTGACCTGGCTGAAGTCGGACGCTTAACCGACTGCGCCACCCAGGCGCCCCTTTAATTTTCATTTTTTAAAGTTTATTCAATTATTTTAAGGTGGGGGGCAGAGAGAGAGAGAGAGGGGGAGGGGGAGAATCCCAAGCAGGCACCACACTGTCAATGCAGAGACCAATGCAGGGCTCAAACCCATAAACCATGAGATCACGACCTGAGCTGAAGTCAAGAGTCGGATGCTTAAAAGAATGAGCTGCCTCAAGAAATTTAATTTAAAAAAAAACGAAAAAGGCATGGAAGAAGAGAAGAGACCAAGCCAGAAGAAAATTCAGGCTGACTAAGAGAATAAGAAAACAAGCAAGTAAATTAAAGTACCACTCTAATCGTTGGTAGTAGTGGTAGATGAGGCTTTAATTCTGTTTCTTCATAGCAGAAATATGAAAGTAAAATGCTTTGTAGGCTCCTAAGTGACTTCCTACTATTTATTTTGTCCTCACCTGATTTTCTTTCCTCTGATTTCCATTTTTCCTCTGCCTCTAGGATCTTAGCAAGATCCTAGGTAACCTAGGGGTATGAGAGGAGGTACAAGATGTGGCAAACATCCATATCCCTTGCCCTCTCCCTCCACTACAGGCCCAATCAAAATGACAACATACATCTTCAAATATGTCAGCTACACAAGGGGAGGGAGAAGAAAGAAAAGAAGCTACGAAATAAGAAGGCCAGTGGAAGCAACCCAGGTATCCACCAACAGATGAATGGATAAATAAATGTGGTATATACACACCATTCAGCAAGAAAGAGGAAGGAGATTCTGACATGTGCTACAACATGGAGGAACCTTAAAGACATTATGCTGAAAGAAGCCAGGTACAAAAAGATACTGTATGATTCCACTTATATGAGGTGCCCAGAGAGGTCAAATTCCTAGAGATGGAAAGTGAGAATGGTTGGTTGCCAAGGGCTGGGGGAAGGGGAATGGGGAGTTGGTATGTAATGGGTACAGAGCTTTGGTTTGGGAAGACAAAAAAGTTTTGGAGATGGACGGTGGTGATGGCTGCACAACACTGTGAGTGTACTTAATGCCACTGAACTGTACACTTAGAGAAGGCTGAAATGGTAAATTATGTGTTATGTATATTTTAACATAATTTTTTAAAAAGTTCTATGAAAAAAAAAAAGAAATGAGGGCCTTATATGCCTTCATGCTTTTGAGAGGGATAGTATCTTTTTAATTGAACAAAATGTTTGAAATCTAGAAAAGCAATCTGAAATCACAAGTAGAACTCAGTGTTTTAAAAACTTAGAGCAACTTTTTGATAACGTCTTACTAAGAAAATGGCCTCACAGGCGATGTATATAGCCATAAAAGCTGCTCTTACCAGCAAATGTTGGCCGAACTTCTGGATCCGCCTCCCAGCACTGCTTCATGATGCTGATAATCTCCTCTGGGCAGTACTCAATGATGTCTTCCACATTTGGTCTGTTCCCAGATTTAATGCACATTATCAACTGCTGCTCACAGATAGCATCTATAAAGCAAATAGGGATTTAAGTTGACTTTTTCTCAGGTCCTAAATGTCTCAGGCAGGAAGATCGCAGGGTTTGGACAAGGCTGGATGTCTCTCTGCCTGGGGTGTGTTTTCAGTACAGCTGTCTCATTCCTTAGGGGCAGAATGACCCTCTGACATGGTCCACCGCCCAGATGATCAAACAACATCTTAACCTCTAAGATGAAAGACAGAATTCACACCAAAGAGGTCTCCTGGTAGAACAAATAGAATATGTGACTAAAACCAATGGCATACTTCAGATTTTACTATAAAGACAAATAAGGTACGGCTCTTACCTGTAAGGAGCTCAGTTTATTGAGAGTAACATAAAATATAGAGTGATAATTGCTATTTAAAAAGTAAGCACAAAGGTTTCTGCTAACACAACCATGACTAGAGGGTCAGAGAAGGATTTGCTGGGTCTAGAAACCTAAGTGGGATTTATCCATGTAAAGAATCAGGAAGGAGGACTCAGAGAGAAGGATTCTGGGCTAGGGAAGCAGGATACGAATAGACTGGAAGTCCCCCAAATCATAATGTAGCCCAGGAATTATGAGTAGCTCACCATAACTGGGCAAAATGACTAAAGAAAGACAGGTAAGGAATGAGGCTAGAGAAAGATGGAAAAGCTAAATCAGAGAGGGCTTTGTATTCCATACTGAAGAATTTGAACTTTATCCTGAAGGCCCAGTGAGCCTTGGAAAGATTTCAAAAATATGAGTGAGATGGTCATACTTGCCCTTTAGGACAACCAGCGTGGCTGAAGTGTGAATGGGGGATGGCATGAGTAGCCATCAGCAGAAATACGGAGGGTCTGAACTGCATAGAGTCTGGTGGGGATAGAGAGAAGTGGATGGATTCAAGATGTAGCCTGAATCACATATAATCTTGAGTTCATAGGTTTAAATGTGTGATGGCATGTGGGAGACAAGAGGCAAAGCTAAGACGTGAAATGCTTCTGGCCCAACAACTAGGTAGGGTACAGGGGGTGGGAGGAGAGAGGGTGATGCCATTTTCTGAACATGAGAAGAGTGGACTACACGGAGAACATGTAGATGAATCTGTTTGAGGGCATGTTGCTTTGGGGTTCCTCTGGTATGTGTAATAGACACAACAGATAAGTGGATATCCAGGCCAGGGCTCTAGATAAGAGATTTGAGAGGCCTTGGCAAAGTAGTGATCATTAAACCAGAGGAGCCAATAATCACCCAAGAAAAAGGGACCAGGAAATGTCCAGTAATTTAGGCACTTAACAAACTGAGGAATGAGTACTGTATCTTCTCCTGCATGAATCATGTCTTTCTCATCTTTTTATTCTTAATTCCAATTAAAGTGCCCATAGTAAGTACTGAAAAGATATAATTCTTATCTATTTGTTTATTTGTCTATTTATTTATTTAGAGTGTGAGTGCACACAGGGGAGGGGCAGAGAGAGAAGGGATAGAGAGAATCCCAATCAGGGATCCCTAACAGCACAGAGCCCCAACACAGAGCTGGATCTCACGAATCATGAGATCATGACCTGAGATGTAGAACCTCCAGAGTAAGAAGCTTAACCAACTGGGCGACCCAGGTGCCCCGAAAAGAAGTAATTCTTGAGTGAAGGAGCAAGCGAATGAATGAAAGTATGAGGCCTATGTCTCCTAAGCAGAAGCAAGCAAGCTTTCCTGTCCAGGAAAAATCCTGGAATTCTACAATACCTCCCAAGCTCAGATACATCATCAAGGCTCCTATTTGTCCTGTGATCCCTGATTCCTAAACTGAGATTAATCATTCATTCACCACAAATGTACTGAACACCAACTGTGTTCCAGGCACTGTGTGTGTAGAGACTGGGGAAATAGCACTGACTCAGTCAGATACCGTCCCAGCCCTGGTGTAGCTTATGGTCTAGTAGGTAAAAAGACGTTATAAATCTTAACTGATGTCATTGAAGGCCACTATTTCACTCAACAGTTTTGATTAACACATAGATTCTACTCCTCTATAAACATCTTACTTTCATATGGCTCCTTATTCGCAAATATTGCCCAAAGTACTATGCCAAAGCTGTATACATCTGACTTCTCTGAGGGTTTTGCGTTGATGTCATTCAGATGCTCAGGGGCCATGTAGCAGAGGGTTCCACCATTTTTCTTAGGGGCGCTATTATTCATTTTTCTCTGCTCATTATTTTCTTCTTTAGTCAGTTTACTCCACGTCTTAAAGGAAGCCACGCCAAGATCAGCTATCTGCAAGAGATCAAGCCAATGGGAGTGTTCTGTGAAAGCTATAAGCAAATCAGACTTGTCTTTAACTCTGGGGTTTATCTAATAGATGCAAGGTACAGTGAATTTCCTGAAGTGGTTCCACTAGATAGGTTTAAAACAGCTACTTCTGAACAGACTCACAGAAATTTTGTGTCTCTTCAGCCATCTAAGAAAATCTCCCCTAAGAAATGTTCATGTGAAATTCTGGTATCTCAATTCTTATGCAATAAACCCAGGGAATTTGCTAGTAGGGTTGGGGGAGGGGGAGGAAAGAGGAAAAGCAGAAGTATTTCTGACATGAACTACAGTAAAACATGTTTATTCTAATTCCTCATTTACTCTGCATATTTTTTTCAACTACTTCTGGGGCTAGGAATACAAGGTATTTTCTTCTCAGCAGATTTGTAGAGCAGATGGTGAGTAGGTACTGCACCTTCAATTTTCCCCAACGGTGTTCCAAAGCCCATGGATGCAAGAGTCTAAGGATTCCCAAGACACTGAGGAAAAGGATGGTAGAGTTACTTGTTTTGAGTTGGTAGCCTGAACCTAAGAGATGACAGGATGGGAAGGAGGAGAAAAACAGACAAGAAAGCAAAGAGAAAAATACAAAGGTCAGACACAGAATGAAGAGGGAGATGGCCGGATAAAATTACAGAACCACACGGTTAAGAAGAAATCAAAGGTGACAGTTTTACTTTTGCCTCTAGGAACCCAAGCATATAGGCATGAATTCCAGCACGTGATTATCTAAAATCCAGAGATTCTAACATAAGAGATACATTAGAGGTAAGTTATTATTGTAAGAAGGAACCTTCCTTTAAAGTCGTAGGATTAAAAATCTGTCCAAGATTAGAAGGAAGTGTTAGAAGCACAATCTTGTAGTAGAAGGATGCCTGCATAAGCAGTTCCTGAGTTCTCCCCCAAAAGCTGCTTCCCCTTTCAGATTCTCGCGCTTGGATTCCTGTTGCCAAAGCCAATTAGACGTGATGTTCCATCTAGTTAAATCTTGCTCTTGAGTGAACAAAAGGAAAATCCTTTCCCTTTGTTCCCTTTACTACAATGGAAAAAGTTAGAATTAAAAAAAAAACAAACTGATACAAAATATAGATTAAAGTCAGTAAATAAATAAATAATATGGACTCCATCAAGTCCGTATCTTTCTTTTCAATCCTTGGCAGAACCTTCCAGCACCACCACCACCAGTTATAAGCTGAGTGAGGTCTTCCTTTAAGGTCTACCATGTGAAAAAATGGATCTATAGTGGAGAATTAAAACTAAAATCACCCCAATCTTCTAGAAACCTTTAGATTATGATTTACCTTAATGTGAAAGTCATCATCAACGAGGATATTTTCAGGCTTTAGGTCCTTGTGTATTACTCCTTCTCCATGTAAGTAGCACATTCCTTCAATGGTTTCCATAATTATCCTTCCTTTTACAGAAAGGGGGATACTGATCTAAAACAGTGATAGTTAAGTCTATGAAATGGAAAGGTAATCAAACAGGCCAAACCGACTGTTTTATTCAAGAGTACTGGGGTCTGAACCTTAGAACAGACAGATCTTCCTTGATATATAATGGGGCTACATCCCAAACCCATCATAAGTTAAAAATATCGTTAAATTGAATATGTGTTTAAACCAACCTAGTGAACATCATAGCTTAGCCTAGCCTATCTTAAAAATGCTCAAGAACACTTATATTAGCCCTCGTTGGGCAAAATCTTGAACACAAAGCCCATCTTATAATAAAACATTGAACATCTCATGTAACTGACTGAATACTAAATGGCAAGTGAGAAACAGAATCGCTGTGTGACTAACCAAATGGTTGTGAGCATATCGGCTGTTTACCTGTGATCACATAGCTGACTGGGAGGTGCGGCTCATGGCCACTGCCCACCATCATAAGACAGGCTGGTACTGTGCATCACTAGCCCAGGAAAAGATCCAAATTCAAAATTCAAAGTATCATTTCCAATGAATGCCTATTGCTCTTGACTGTCATAAAGTCAAAAAATTGGTAAGTCCAACTATCATAAGTTGGGGACCATCTGCAGTTACCAGGATTCCTTCTATTATGCTGTTCAGCACTGCTGTCATTTTAAAAGAAGTCCCCTTTTAAAGAAAGATTTCATCCCAGGTGCTAAGGGTACTAATGTTGTGCTCTGTCATGTAAAAATAAAACTTTCATGCCAATAGGGCAATATACTAAAATGCTGTAAAATTAAGCTCCTTGAGAGCAAAACATCACCACCACCACCACCATCATCATCATCATCATTCTAGAATGCATCCTGACTGTCTGGCATGGTGCCTGGAATGTTTGTTGAATGATGGATAAATAAATAAATAAACAAAAAACAAGTATTTTTCTATAGTACATTAATATGTGCTACTATATATTAAATAGGTGAACAGTGTCACAGAAATGTGTAGATGAACATTGAGAAAAAAAGAATACAAGAGAACATGCTCACACTTATTACAAATATGTAAAGACTAATCTATGGGATAACATGATGTTAAAACAATGCTGAAGTGGGTTTAATATCTATTTGGTGATTTGGTATCATCTATTTTAGATCTTTGTAAATTCTCAAGTCACTCTTACTTACGACTGTATTCTAGTTGTATAAATACCAACATTAATACAGACAACTCCAATTTCTATTATAGCAGCTAAACACTAGTTTTGCTTAACAGTGAAAAACGCAAACTGTTTGTATGTGTGTGTATGTGTATATGTGCACAGTCTCTAGTTTACAAACAAGGCTGTTTAGGCTGATTCCTAAAAATTTAGATATATGTTGGTTGTTGGTAAACAGGAAAAAAATTTAAATGATGGAAGTTAGATTCCCAAGTCAACCCCCCAAATCATATTTAAAACCCACAATGGAGATGAATTAGTCACCTGATCACCAGCATACAAAAAATAGCCAGAGATTTTCCTTTCTTCCTTGATATACCTTTGGACTTAGGAAGAATTTCTGAGCAAGCAAAGGAAAGACCTTCTCATTCCCCTTCCTGATTTTCTCCCTCATGTCCTCTTGAGTTCCCTCTGGAGCCCAAACTAGTCTACCTTATCTTTGCCTGATCCGGGAGAATGCCCCCTTGTCCCAAAAGATTTACCTCCCAATCAAAATGACTATTTACTTCATGCAGCAGCTGATCTTACCTAGTTTTGGGGAGAAGAGCAATCTGATCAAATTACAACACAATGTGTATAGGTGAACCTCTCTTACCCCTTCCCACAGGTATCTGTGAGAGATGTCTGGGACTTAAAAGAATTGAAGAACAGACATAATTTTGGGCAGATGTAGGGTCGGGGGGAGAAGACAGGAAAAGGGGAAATATCTGCCCTAAAGAAAGCCACATCCCACCACTGTCTCATGCAATCTACGCTTTGGCCAAATCCAGTTACTTGTAAGTTTCCCAGATATGGCATACTCTCATTCCTTTGCACATGCCATTGTCTCTGCCTGGAACACTTATTCCCTAATTATCTGCTTGTCATTTGGGCTTTGGCCCAAGCATCCTCCTTCTGGAATCCCTTCCTATTTATCACACGCTAAAGTGACTGCTGCTCCTTTGTGTTCCCACAGCACACTAGGAGGATGTCTATCAAAACACAATTGCACCATACTGTTCACTTCCTTATCTGTCCCTTTTATGTGTGTCATATTTGCTATTGCTTCTTGATTAACTAGCACAAGGCCTAGCTCTTACTAGGTAGATAAACTCAGGGCACCTGGGTGGCTCAGTCGGTTAAGTGTCTGACTCTTGTTTTCGCCTCAGGTCATGATCTGATGGTCGTGAGATCAAGTTCAGCGTGAAGACTGCTTGGGATTCTCTCTCTCTCTCTCTCTCTCTCTCTCTCTCTCTCTCTCCCCCTCTCTCTCTCTCCCTCCCTCCCTCCCTCCCTCTTCCACTGCCCTTCTCCCCTGAGCTCTCTCTCAAAACAAACAAAAACAAAACAAAATGAAATATCTTTAGAAAAATAAACTCTATGGGTTGCCTGGATGGCTCAGTTGGTTAAGCATAGGATTTGGACTCAGGTCATGATCTCATGGCTTGTGGGTTTGAGTCCCATGTCAGGCTGTGCTGACAGTGTGGATGAAGCCTGCTTCAGATTCTGTGTCTGCCTGTCTCTCTGCCCCTCCCCTGCTAGTGCTCTGTGTCTCTCTCTCTCAAAAATAAATAAACATTAAAAAAAAATTTTTAACAGATAAACTCTACAAAATGTTTTATCAACGTGATTTGGTTTTCATAAATCAATTTTTATTTTCCTATTTTAAGTCTTACTTATCCAGTGTTGTTGCCTCTAGTGTTCTATATTTAGCCTGTAAGTTTCTTAAATGGTATCAAAGGGCAATCATCAATATTCTATCTCCACACACAGTTACTGAGAGTGTACATCCTTTAACCAATCAGTCAGTGTTTACTGTTACCTATTAGCATATACTTCACATCATGAAGACAGTGCTTGTCCCTGAACAGTGGATGCTGGGGTGGCTGACAAAAGCCTACTATAAGACTAAGACATGGGTGGGGGGGACCTCCCCAGGTGAGGGGTACAGACAGCTGTCTGCAAGGATTGACGGGAAGGCAAGACCACCTTCTGGGGCCGGGAAAGTCCAGGATGCTTTAACAAGGGGACTGACTTCAGAAAATCCAAAGTATCTAGCCACTCACACAAGGGTTATTTGACACCAACAAGCTACAAAAGAACACAGTGGCAATAACCATCACAGACAGGCAGCCCCCGAGCTGCTGTGCCCGTATGGTGCACAGCAAAGCCCTCTTTACCTCCGCTTTCAGAACATGCATCAGGTTGCCCTTTTCCATGTACTCCATCACCAGAGAGTAGTTTCCTTCTTCTAAGATGACACCCAGGAGCTTCACCACCCGATTATGTCTCAGCCTGTGCATCATCCTGCCCTCCTCAAGGAGGGACTCGTTGTACCTGCGGGAGAGAAAGGTGCTGTTAAGATGGGCACAGTTAGTGCCCTTGTCCTTGTTCCCCCAAGAAACACAGCATATGGCTCCAATGCATCACATCACATGGGCTTGTGTTGGTACTTGTGCATGTACTGATCCCTTCTGGGTCCAGGCTACAAGCTTCCAGAGGCAGAGGCATTTCCTGCTCATCTTCATATTCCTCCTTCCCAGTTACAGGCAGTGAGTGCTCAAGAAACAGTAGGTCAATAACAAATGAATGCAGAGGAAATGAAGAGCAGCCAGGAGAAGCAGCCTGAGAAAAGGGCTGCGTTGGACAGGATAATTAAAAATGCAGCCTCTCTTGGGGCGTCTGGGTGGCTCAGTTAAGCGTCTGACTTGGGCTCAGGTCATGATCTCATGGTTCATGAGAGCCCCGCGTCAGGCTCCGTGCTGATAGCTCAGAGCCTGGAACCTGCTTCGGATTCTGTGTCTCCATCTCTCTTTCTGTCTCCCCCCCACTCACGTTCTGTCTCTCTCTCTCTCTCAAAAATAAACATTAAAAAAAAAAAAGGCAGCCTCTCTTGGTAACCACTCTGGCAGGAACAAAGGGAGGTAAAACAAGTCCACCAGCTGCTTTAAAGAGAGGGCTTCTGGAACTTCTAATCAATAGGCTACTTCCCCCACCCCCAGACTTAGGGCTGGTCCTTACCAAAATGGTGAAGGAAGTATTTAAGTCTATCTCAAGGACCCCTCCCCATTTTCTTCTCATTGCCTCCCTCATTACCCTTAATCTCCTTCCCCTTCTTTATTTCCTTCTCTTTGTCTTTCATCATTTATTACTGCAAGCTTTTTGCTAACCAGCCTCAGAATCCTCATCAGCGGCACAGGGAGAATAATAATAACCAGCTTTCAGAGTTATCTGACATAAAGCCCACACGCTGATATGCCACAGTCTGTCTCACTCTAAAGCCTGGGCCATGGCATATCCACTGCCTTGCCCTGCTCCTCCACGGTAACTCTTCCCATGGCCAGCCTGTAATTTGGCCCACCCACCTCTGTTCCCAACTCACTCAGTACACTTGGGGCCTGTGTACACCTTTTTCAGGATTACGAGTCCATGGGATCTGTGTAAACACAAAGACACCTTTCCAAAGCCCCCGCTGTCAAGATGCTCCTTCTCCAAAAAGTCACTAGATTTCATCTTAATGTCATCCAAGGACATGTCTGGTTTCCTTATGAATCCTCAGAATGTCCAAAAATGCACCACTTTTTCCCCCTTCGGAGATGTGCCCTGTAAGAAAGACAAAAGGACATCTTAGTGCACAAAATCATTATTCAAAAAACATATGAAATTCTACCATATGTTCGGTGGAATCACAGAAAACCACATTTTATTTTTACTTTAAAAGATTGTTTTAGGGGCGCCTGGGTGGCGCAGTCGGTTAAGCGTCCGACTTCAGCCAGGTCACGATCTCGCGGTCCAGTGAGTTCGAGCCCCGCGTCAGGCTCTGGGCTGATGGCTCAGAGCCTGGAGCCTGTTTCCGATTCTGTGTCTCCCTCTCTCTGCCCCTCCCCCGTTCATGCTCTGTCTCTCTCTGTCCCAAAAATAAATAAACGTTAAAAGATTGTTTTATTGACCAATATTGGAACAAAAAATGATGAGTGATGACAAAGTCTTTATATTATAGGTTATCTTTTTGTAAAGGGAGAAACATTGTGTTTTGCCATTAAAAGACAAGAGACATACATACGGACAGACATGTGTATCCGTAGCCTCGTCTCCCTGATTCTATCCCTATTCCTCTAGAGACTACTCTCAGCACAGCAGCCAGAAGGATCCTTTTACAAATGTAAACTAAATTGTGTTACTTCTAAAACCCTCCACACACTCAGGGTAAGACCAAACTCCTTACCATGACCTACAGAATCCTCCAAGAGGCTGCCCCTGCCTACCTCTCTTCCTCTTGCTTATTCGACTCTGGCCACACTGGCTTTGTTTCTGTGTCTTGAACTTGCCATGTTCTTTCTCTTCTGAGGACCTTGGCATTTACTCTTTCCTCTGGTTGGAGTGCTCTTCCCTGAATATTTTGCATGATTTGCTCTCTCCTCAAAAAGTCCGTCACTGGCCTCCTGGCCTAAAGTAAGCCCCTTCTGTTAATATATATTTACTTTTTAACCTAGTTCCACTTTTGTAGCAATTATCATTATCTGAAATAACCTCATTTATATGTTTACTTTCAAGGGGTCAGTCTCCTCTACTGTAATATAACTTCCATGAAGGTAGAAATTTTTGTCTGTTTTGCTCATTGTTGTATTTTCACCACTTAGAACAGAGCTAGAACAAGTACACACTCATTACACAATATGCATCTTTATATTTATATTAATATTGAATCAATAACTAATTTATTATTATATTTCAAAACACTATTGCTTTTAGGAGCAGGAACCATGCCTATTTTCCTTCAGAATTTTAGCCCCAGTGCCTTTCAAGGGTTAGCTGCTTAGGATATAATAGATGCTCGATAAACATGTTTGAACTGAACAAGGTCATACGCATAGATACATGGATTAAATGGACCCCCAACTTATTTTAAACATTGCTGAGCCCTTTCTGAAATGATAAACACTCCAAAAAGCACCCAGAAATTAAAATAAACCTTATCTACAAAGGTTAAATCTTTAGCTAATGTACAAATGTGATCTGTTCCTCCACTCTACCTTTGGCTACCTCTTTGATTTTTCCAACCTAAAACTAATCACTTACCAAGTCAGACAGTTAGTATTTTTGGATTCACCCACTCCTTTCCATGCCCACAGACATTCTCCTAATAAAGACTTTCGTTGCCTCTTGTCCAGACTTTTACAGAAAACGTCTAACAAGTGTCCTTCTCTCCTAGCCAACCAACGTACAGGATGCCAGATTAATCTTATGAGAGTTCATATTTAGTCATATAATTCAAAAACTCTAGACCTACAAGGTTTGTGTGGCCCTGTATAACTGAACCCTGTCTACCAAATTAAGCATAGAATTCTCAACCTCACATTTAAAGCTCTTACTGGTATTCTACCGATCTCATTTTCCAGCTTTATTTTATTTTATTTTATTTTTTAGTTCTAGTTAGTTAACATATAGTGTAGTATTGGTTTCAGAATTTACACATAACATATGTACACACCCAGTGCTCATCCCAACAAGTGCCCTCTTTAATGCCTATCATCCATTTAGCCCAGCCCCCAACCACCTACCCTCCTGCTCCTCAGTTTGTTCTCTATATTTAAGAGTCTCCTGGGGCACCTGGGTGGCTCAGTTGGCTAAGCGTCTGACTTCAGCTCAGGTCATGATTTCAAGGTTCGTGGGTTTGAGCCCTGAGTCAGGTTCTGTGCTGACAGCTCAGAGCCTGGAGCCTGCTTCGGTTCTGCCTCCCTCTCTTTCTGCCCCCACCCCCTCACTCATGCTCTATCTCTCAAAAACTGAATAAACATTAAAAATATGGGGGAAAAAAGAGTCTCTTATGGTTTGCCTCCCTCTCTGTATCTTATTTTCTTTTCTTTCCTTCCCCTATATTCATCTGTTTTGTTTCTTAAATTCCACATATGAGTGAAATCATATATTTTTTTCTGATGGACTTACTTCACTTAGCATAATACACTCTAGTTCCATCCATGTTGTTGTAAATGGCAAGATTTCATTCTTTTTGATGGCCAAGTAATATACCATTGTGTGTGTGTGTGTGTGTGTGTGTGTGTGTGTGTGTGTGTGTGTGTATATACACCACATCTTCTTTATCCATTCATCAGTCGATGGACATTTGGGCTTTTTCCATAATTAGGCTATTGTTGATAGTGCTGCTATAAACACTGGGATGCATGCATGTTCCCCTTCGAATCTGTATTTTATCCTCTGGACAAATACCTAGTAGTGCAATTGCTGGCTCATAGGGTAGTTCTATTTTTAACTTTTTGAGGAACTTCTGTACTGTTTTCCAGCATGGCTGTACCAGTTTGCATTCCCATCAGCAGTACAAAAGGGTTCCCCTTTCTCTGCATCCCTGCCAACATGTTGTTTCCTGAGTTGTTAATTTTAGCCATTCTGACAGGTGTGAGGTGGTATCTCATTGTGGTTTTTATTTGCATTTCCCTGAGGATGAGTGATGTTGAGCATCTTTTCATGTGAAAACCACAATTTGTATTCCTTTAGACTTCCATTTCTGGCAACATGGAGGACTAGAAAAATTTTAAAACCCTCCTGCTGCAAAAGACCTATGTGTATTGGATAGCATAACACAAATATCCACTCAAATGCATAGGTAGGCCAATGGAAAGGAAAATAACTCCAGGGACTAAAAAAAGAACAGGGCACTGGCCGCAGGGCAATGACCCACATGGTGGCTGCTACAGAATGAATGTTTGTGTCTGCCCCAAACTTCATTTGTTGAAGCTCTAACTCCATTGTGATAATATTAGGAGGTGGGGTCTTTGGGAGGTAATTGGGTCATTAAAGTGGAGGCCTCATGAATGAGATCAGGGTCCTTATAAAAGATATGAGAGTTCTCACTCTCTCTCTCCACTACATGAAGATGCGTCCTATGTCCCCAAAGACTAGTATGATGTTCACAGCAGCTTTATTCATGTTATCCCCAAACTGGAAACAGTTATGCATCAATAGGAAATGGATTTTTAAAAAAGGATTGTAGGGGTGCCTGGGTGGCTCAGTCAGTTGAGCGCCCAACTTTGGCTCAGGTCATGATCTTGTGGTCTGTGAGTTCGAGCCCTGCGTCAGCTCTGTGCTGACAGCTCAGAGCCTGGAGCCTGCTTCAGATTCCGTGTCTCCCTCTCTCTCTGCTCCTCCCCAGCTCACACTCTGTCTCTCTCTCTCTCTCAAAAATAAATAAAGATAAAAAAAATTTTTTTAAGGATTGTATATTCATACTATGGATTACTACTCAGTAATAAAAAGCAATGAACTACTAATACACACAGCAATGTGAATGAGTCACAAAACATGGTAAGTAAAAGGAGCCTTGTACAAAAGAATACATACTGTATAATTCCATCTATATTAAGTTCTGGAACAAGGTAATCTACACTGGAAAAGGAACACTGGTTGCCCACGGACAGGGTGAGGACTGAATGGTTTGGGGCATGAGGAAACTTTCTGGGTGATGGTAATGTTCTGTCATCTCATTGGGGGTTAGGGTTACACACGCATAAGCATTTGTCAATACTCAGTAAATATACTCTAGGTAAATCTTACAACAAAAGAAAAATCTGTAAACATACTGAAGTCTATCTTGTTAACGAAGTGCATGCTGAAAAAAGTGTACTGGTACCTGCAATTTACTTTGCAGACAAACTGGTGGGTAGAGTGGTAAATAGCTGGTCTGTGATAGCGCAGGCAGAATAAAATGATATTCATGGTAGACACACGAAAGTTCAGTGTAAAATTTTTTTTAATTTGTTTCTACATTTCTATTTTTACTAATTTTTCCCATATATTCCTCACCCAGTTTCTAATAGTACAGATAACAAAACTAAGAAACCAACTTTGTACATTACTAGTAACTAAACACCCTACTTGATTAACTCATTTTTTTTTTTTTTTAACTAATGACATTTTTCTGTTCCAGGATCCAATCCAGAATACCACATTGCCTTTTGTAGCTCTTGATTTTTTAATTTTTAAAAAATCTTTTGACCCCCTTCACCCATTTCTCCCAGACCCTGCCTTTGGCAACCCCAATCTGTTCTCTGTATCTATGATCTTCTTTTCCTTCTTCTTCTCCTTCTTTTTTTTTTTTTTTTTTAAGATTCCACATATAAATGAGATCATATGGTATTTGTGTTGCTGACACTTCACTTAGCATAATGCCCTCAAGGTCCATCCATGTTGTTACAAAGGGCAGGATTTCCTTCTTTTTTATGACTGAATAATGATGAGAATAATAAGAAGAAAAAGATATATATACATATATATATATATATATATATATATATATATATATATATATGTCACATCTTATTTATCCATTCATCTATTGATGGACTTTTAGGCTATTTCCATACCTTGGCTATTGCAATTGATGCTGCTATGAACATGGGACTGCATATGTCTTTTTGAGTTAGTGTTTTTGTTTTCTTTTATTTTTTAATTTTTTTAATGTTTATTTTTGAGAAACAGAGAGAGAAACAGAGTGTGAGTGGGGGAGGAGTAGAGAGAAAGGGAGACACAGGATCTGAAGCAGGCTCCAGGGTCTCAGCTGTCAGCACAGAGCCCAACGTGGGGCTCAA